AACATTCTAGATCTTTCCAGGGAGCACAGGTCAAGCCCTTGAAAATGACCCCGTTTCTCCTATTGCAATTTGGAGGAGCCCTTCACCCACAGCAGGATCCCTCCAGGGCCAGGCCCTCTCTCCCTCTCTGGCTGCCTCCCTTCAGCACTCACCCCCAGACTCGAAATTCTAAGGCAGCAGCTTTATTTGCGCAAACATTCAAAGTGGGGGAGTCTTCACAGCCGGCTCCTCAGGGTGTGAGTGCTTTGGGGACGGGTGCTGAGCCCGTCAGCGAGGCAAGGCCAGCACCACAAAGCCTCTGCGCTTGCTGAGCAGCGGGTCCTGTTTGGGGAAGGGCTCTCCTTGCTCCCTGGTCGCCCACCAGGGCGCGTTCTCGTCCACAGATGGGGAGATTCCTCTGTGCACACAGGAGGGAGGTTCTCAACGAGCAGGAACTGGGCTTCTGGCTGAATGGGGAGGAGTTCTCCTTCTCGGAAATGATTATTGTGGGGTTTTTTCTTCTGATCTTAGAAGAAATACATGCTCATTGAAGAAAACAGAGAAAGTTTCTTTTTTAAGTAAAAACTATCCAAATTCTGCAACCCAGAGACTTCCATGCGCGCGCGCGCGCACACACACGTCTGTGCTTGCAGAGCTGCGATAGTGTTTCCTATCTGATTTCACATTCTCCATAGTTTTTTTTTTTTTAAATATATTTCTTTATTGATTTCAGAGAGGAAGGGAGAAGGAGAGAGAGCTAGAAACATCAATGATGAGAGAGAGTCATTGATCGGCTGCCTCCTGCACACCCTCTACTGAGGATCGAGCCCGCAACCCCGGCATGTGCCCTTGACCGGGATCGAACCTGGGACCCTTCAGTCCCCAGGCTGACGCTCTATCCACTGAGCCAAGCCGGCTAGGGCTCCATAGTTTTACTTTACATCCTCAGTGTGATAATTTGAGGGAAACCATCTCAGTCTTTTAGCCCCTTGGGTGAGAGGAGGGGGCGCGGATGGGCAGGGGTGCGGGGGAGAGGGCCGAGCCATCCGGGGAGACCCACCAGCAGGGTCCAGCCCCCCAGCATCTGCACGGAGAGAGGGTGAGAGTCCTGTCTCCCCAGCATGAGAGTGAGGCCCCCACGCCCTGTGGTGGAGGATAACTGTGGGGACGCTGCAGCCAGCTCCCACTGAAGCCGCCCACCCTCTTCCACAGGCATCGACTACAAGACCACCACCATCCTGCTGGACGGGCGGCGGGTGAAGCTGCAGCTCTGGTGAGTCTGGCGCCTGCCTGGACCCTGAGCAGGCCTGGCCCTCAGCGCTCGGCCTGCACCTGGGGAAGGTCCTCTCCCTTCCCGCCCGGCCCAGGGCTCTGAAGGAGGGGCTGACCCCTTGTCTGGGCCCGAAGCTTTGACCCTGGTCCAGGGGAGGGGAGCCCTGGGCCTTGCGGGCCCTGCTGTCTGCCAGGAATCTGTGGCCCAAACCTCCCCGGGGCTCAGAAGGCCTCATAGCAGCGGCTCCAAGTTTTCTTCTGAATGTCCCCCACCTTACCGCCATCAAACAGGCCCTCGGCTCCCAGTCCTGTTTCTGGTTTGAGTGGTCCCTCCATGCCTCCCCCCAAGGCTCCAGGGGACCCTGGAGTCATCCTGGACACCCACGCGGGAGCTCCCCACCCCCGGCAGGGCACAGGCGGCCAGGGGAACTGTCCACACGTTCTGGCCGTTCTGGCCGAGGCAGGAACCATGATGGCCCTGCAGGCCCCAGGGCAGAGCTGGGCGTCGGTCCCTCAGGGTCGCTCTCCTTGCCCACAGACCTTCTAGCAGCCCCGCCTGTGGGCAAGGCCTGAGCGCCTGAGGCTCTGCTGGGGCTGATGGGGGTTCTGATGATTGGCTGCTCCCAGCCTCTGGCCTCTCAGAGCCCAGCCGGCCCTGCTCCCCTGAGTCTGGGGGAAGGTCACCTGTGGGTCCGACTTTATATGATTGACTCAGAGTTAGTGAAGCCAAGGGATCCCGCCAAATACTTCGACCTGCACCCCCCCACCCCATGAGACTCACATCCCTCACAACACAGCTTTATCTCCAGATTCCACGTCATTTTAGAAGCTTACATTAGATTTATTTAAATGTCAGAATTAGGGTGTTGAAACCTGTCACTAATTTTTCTAGTTTGACTTACAGAATGACAACTAGAAAAGAGCATAAGCCCAGGACATTCCGATGTCCAGGTCCCTCCAGGGGACGAGGTGACCGTTCGTTGGGGTCTCGGACGTTCAGTGGCACGGCCACCGGCTGATGAGGGTCCCAAGTTCGGTGCCGCCTGGTCAGGAAGCAGCAGCAATGCCTCACCTGTCCCCAACACCTTTTCCTTCCAGGGACACGTCCGGGCAGGGGAGATTCTGTACCATCTTCCGCTCCTACTCGCGGGGCGCACAGGTAACCCCTGAGCGGGAGGTCGCGCTGACATGCGGGACGCCCTTTCATGTTGAGCTCTCTGTGTACACTGAGGCCTGAGTCTATGGAGGGTTTGGTGGCTCACAAGCCTTTGTTGGCGCCAGGGCTGTACGTGCGCACGTGCGTGTGTGCATTGTTCTATGCATGTGTGTGTTCATGCACATGTGTGAGGCTGTCTATACATGCACAGGCGTATTCATGTTGCATACCTGTGTTTGCACGCATGTGTGTTGTACATGTGTGTGCTGGTACACACACTGCATGCAGGAGAGCTGTGTGTGTGCACATGCATGCCTGTACATGTGCACACCTGTGTTGGTGTAAATGTCCATGTGTGTGCATGGCTGTGCATGTGCATGTGTGTGCACCTGTGTTAATGGTCCTGTGTGTGTCTGTCCTCCTGAGCGGGTGAGGCCCGGGCTCCCCACCCTGTGTCCCTGGAGCAGCTTGTGGACGTGGGGAATTGAGTTCTAGTCCCCAGCCCACCTGATGTTTGAGGGCTCAGCAATGAGCTTGTGAAATAGTGGAAATAATCACATAACTGCTACATCTGATGGATAAATCCAAACAAGCCTGTGTTAGAACAAGCATGATGGGTAGTGGCTGTTGTGAGTGTTACTGTGTGGCCCTCACTCGGCCGTGCAGCCCGGAGCTGTGCCTGCGGTGAGGTCAGCCGGTGCCTCTCCCCAGGGGGTGATCCTGGTCTACGACATCGCAAACCGCTGGTCCTTCGACGGCATCCACCGCTGGATTAAGGAGATCGATGAGGTGTGCCTCCCTGTGGGCGCGAGGGTGTCGGGCTGAGGACGGGGCGTGTGGGCCAGGGCACCAGGCTTCAGCCCCAGGGAGGATGTGTCACCTCCCAGCACAGGAGCCGCCCTGATGCAAGAACCGGCAAGCTCCGGAGTCTGGGCCCTGCACGTGGTCTGGTGGGTTCACGGGCAGTGACCAGGCTGCTGCCTGCTGGCACCCTGACCAGTCCACTGCCCCTGGGGACATGGAGTGGCGGGGCCACACCCACTGTCTTAGTTTCCTGCTGCTGCTCTAACAGACCTTAAACCAGGTGGCTTAAAGCTGCACATTTGTTTTCTCACATTTGGAAGCCAGAAGTCCAAGAGGAAGGTGTGGGCAGGGCTGCGCTCCCTCCTAAAGCCCCGGAGGAGGCTCCTGTCTGTCTCTTCCCACTTCTGTGGCTGCCGGCAGCCCCGGGCGCTCCTGGGCCTGGAGAGGCATTCCTGTCTCCACCCTGTGGTCACCAGCCTTCTTCCCCGTGTCCTCTCCTCTCACAAGGACACCGGTGATTGGGTTCAGGGCTCACCCCAACGACCTCATCTACTAATTACATCCTCACACGTTCTGAAGTTCTGGGTCCGTCTAAACTGGGGGGCATGCCATCTAGTACCCAGCACACCTACAGTGCCAACAGCAAAAGCTCGCACAAGTACCCACTTCCCTTGCCTTCCTTTCGCCCTCTAGCACGCTCCCGGGGTCCCTAAGATCCTGGTGGGAAACCGCCTGCACCTGGCCTTCAAGCGGCAGGTCCCCACGGAGCAGGCCCAGGCCTACGCAGAGCGCCTGGGCGTCACCTTCTTCGAGGTCAGCCCTCTGTGCAACTTCAACATCACCGAGTCCTTCACGGAGCTGGCCAGGATTGTGCTGCTGCGGCACGGGATGGACCGGCTCTGGCGGCCGAGCAAGGGTAGGCGCTGAGCTGTCCCACAGCCCAGGGCGCTGTTCACCCTCCCAGGGCCTGCCTCGGGCCGCCATTTCCATTCCCAGGGCACAACTGTGCTGACTTAGAGGGAAATCATGGTTACAGCTCTATCGTGGCCACACGGGAGGCTGCTGAAATCTGTACGTAGGCAGAGGCGGACGCATTTATTATAAGGTGGCCGCAGGCGTCCACGCTGAGAGGGGGTTGTGCCTGAGCAGGACCCCCAGTCTGTGAAGAGGGACCCCCTAGGGCAGCACTGTGGCTTCCACGTGACCTTCGACCTTCCTGCAGATGGCTTTGGGAAGAGCTTATCACATTAGGAATAATTCCCTTTCCACTTTGTTTATAAAGAGAGGAACTTGAGAAACAGAAGTGTGTAGGGTTTTTTTTTTAAATATATATTTTTATTAATTTCAGACAGGAAGGGAGAGGGAGAGCGGGATAGAAACATCAGGGATGAGAGAGAATCATTGATGGGCTGCCTCCTGCACGCCCCACACTGGGGATCGAGCCCACAACACGGGTATGTGCCCTGACCGGGGATCAAACCGTGACCTCCTGGTTCATAGGTTGATGCTCAACCACTGAGCCACACCAGCTAGGCAAGGGTCTTTTTAATAGAATGTAACTGGCAGTGGGATGTATATTAAAATTCCTGAGGAGACCTCCTGGGACATCATCCCTCCCCTTCACCTCTCAGACCTGGGGGAGAGATGGTGGCCTCTCGGGTTTTGGGGGACAAGCTGAGTTTAGGTGACGAAAGCAGATGGCTCTCTCCGAGTCCTGCTGGAGGCGGCACATGGGCACATGGGGAGCGTCAGCCCTGGCTTTCCTGGCCCGTCCGCCCCAGGTCCTGGGAAAGGTGGTGGGTCGGTGGGCCGGGCTGCCCTGAGGCCGGCGGCAGGGACCGCCTGAGCGTGGCTTCTCTTCCTTCCCAAGTGCTGAGCCTGCAGGACCTGTGCTGCCGGGCGGTGGTGTCCTGCACCCCCGTGCACCTGGTGGACAAGCTCCCGCTCCCCCTGGCCTTGCGAAGCCGCCTCAAGTCCTTCTCCATGGCCAACGGCCTGAACGCCAGGATGATGCACGGCCGCTCCTACTCCGTCACCGTCACCGCCAGCTCGGCGCACAAGAGGAGCAGCCTCCACAAAGGCAAGGCCGCCCGGCCGCCCCAGAGCCCCCCCCAGCGCTGCGCCAGGAGCAGCTGCAAAGTCTCCTAGGAGGCGGGAGCGGGCGCACACCGCAGACTCCGTCCCACGGGAGCCGGGGGGCCACGCCAGGGCCGAGAAGCACCGGCCAGCCCTCACGGCGACCACGCCGCTCCGAGCAACGAGGACCCACACCACGGTTTGACGTTGGTGTTTCCACGTGGATGTGCATGAAGCTCTTGTGTTAGACGTGTGTTCATAAAGGGGAGATGGGTACTCTGCTTGCCTCTTACTACCCTGCAGTTCGAATGTTATTGATGCCACAGTCGCGGTGCAGACGTTTCCCTTAGCACAGCTGCTCTGGTGAGAATGGTGATGTGCGTGTCTGCGTGTCAGTCCAGGGGACCCCGGCAGCGACGCCAGGGAACGTAGAGTCGACGCGAGGAGCGAGGCCTTTTTGTAAACCTCCTTAACTAATTTATAAACGCTGCGGACGCATCTGGGATTATGGAAAGCTGATCCGTCCCGCTTCTGTACAAAATGGGTTTGATAAAGTTTTTGCTATGTTATTTACTACGTTTTGGGATTAATAAGTGATGTATATGCACATTTTTTCTGTCAATCTACATTTTTTTTTTGTATAAAACGTTCCACAGGTTATGAAGCAGAGAAAAGAAAATGCCAAAGATACCTCTGGTTGTGTCGAACCCAGAGCAGCTACAGCAGAGTTGGGTGGGCAAGGCGCCCATCGGAGAGCGTCTCGGGCGGGAAAAGGCGGGCACGGGCGCGGGAAGAAGCAGTAGCAGGTTAGCAGGTTTGCCTGCTCTCTCGTCGCCAGGTCTGACTGTGTATTTACAGCCCTTTACTTCCTGCTTCACCGCCTGGTTCAGGCGCCAGTTCCCGGAGTCCGTGCAGGTATGCGGCGTTGGCAACAGGGCTCCGCTCCTGAACTGCGACATCTACTGAAAAAGATTCCTTTTCCTGAAAAGAAATGTAGAGGCAGAAAGAGGGGAGCACAGTTGGCCTTGAACGATGTGGGGTTGGGGCGCCGACTCCCACGCAGGTGAAACCCATGTGTAACCACAGGGGGCCCTCTGCATGCGCGACCCTCCAATGACACTGCTTGACCTCCCCGGGCCCCTTGGAAACGGCCTGTGATCGGGCGGTTCCAACCATATTCTTCAAGGGCCTCGTGGGACGGAGGGCGCCGTCTGGTAAGATGCCGGGAGGTGCCCTTCCGATTACTGTGACACAAGGACGCGGCCGACTTTGCAAAGGGCCTCTCGTTCCTGGCAGGACCTGTGAGCTGTGGCCCTGCAGCAGCCGGAGGTTAGAAGGAAGGATTAAAAAAATAACACGAGTTGAGATGTCCTCCGTTTCTATAAATGGTTAATAGAGTTTTAGAAATTCAAGGAGCCCTAGAACTGGGGGCAACCTTTACTCAGAGATGGTGAAACCGAGGCCCAGAGAGGAGAAACGAGATGGGCACGGAAGGTCGGAAGCCAGCCATGACGAGGACAGTGTCCACAGGGGAGCAGGCAAGTGGACAGCAGCAGGTCAACCCTGAGGGAGCCGCTGGCCTGGGAGGACACGCCGCTGGGCATTGGACGGAGAGAGGGAAGGGCTGCCACGCTGGCCGGGAAGCTGGGGCGGCTGAGGTGGGGCCACTCCTCCCTTCGTTTGCAGCCAGGAGAGGCCAGGAGGGGTCCAAGCGGAATGAAAACACCTCAGCACCTCCTCTCCCCTTCGAAGAACGCACTTCTCAAGACCCCACAGGGGAGCGAAGGTGCGGGGCCCACAGATGGTGGCAGCTCCGGGGGATGGGTCCCCTGGCCCTGAGGTTAAACGGGGACAAAGTCTTCTTCCCCTTCCACTTCCTTGTTGTTTTCCGATGACACGTGTGTCCTAGAAGGACTATGACAAGTTCCTGTGGCCTCTGGGACAGGAGCTCTCTCGGAGCGCACGGTTCCAAGGCCTCAGCCCTCTGCAGGTTAGGCTCCAGGTGGCCGCCAGGAGATGAAAGAGGCAGCAGCCCCCCCTCACCCCCGACCCTCACCCCCCACTCCCACGCCTGGATTTCAGACACTGGCCTCCTGAGTTGTGAGAGGACAGAGTTCCGTGTGGCAATTCCTTACGGCAGCCCCAGGACACTCACATAGCACGGAAATGGGTGACGTCCCAGGAGGAAGTGTCTCAAACCCAAGTGGCACCTGGGTGAAACAGCAGGAGCCCCGACACAGGATGAACTGCGTGGAAGTGTGCGTGTTTCGGTGGCGAATATGCAGAAAATGTAATTGAGATGTAACTGAACCTTGAAGCAAACTGTGCCCCAACCTTGTCATTTGTCTTTCTCTCCGTGGCCCTTGCTGCTGGCGAAACCCACCCAGACCGTGAACACGCGCCGAGTCACGTCCCAGGTGTGTGTGACTCTCTTCTCAAGCGTGGAGATTCAAAACGTGTGCGCACCCTGATGTCCTCATTGCCCCGTGAAAACACCCGCCTTGCGGAGTCATCTCCTAGACCAGGAGCTCACAGCACTGAGGCATCTTCCGGGCAAACATTGAATCTGTGGGGGAGTCAGTCACAGGCTTGGTGATGTTTGTTTTGCCAAAAAGACGGAGGTAGAGATGCTTCCGTTTGCTGGAGGACGGCTTCGTCAAAGTGAATGTGAGGAGAAACGGAAGCTGCGTGTGTTGGGGGGAACTGGGCAGAGGGGCCTCAGCCCCTTCCAGGCAAGGGTGGCGGGGGTCCCTGGGTCACTCTTCACAATGTGGGTGTTCTTGGCACTTCCCTTCCCCCGGTCCCAGCCTCCACTGGGGTGTTCTCAGGATGCTGAGCTTTTTAAATACATTTTTATTGATTTCAGAGAGGAAGGGAGAGAGAGATAGAAACATCCATGATGAGACTCATTGATCGGCTGCCTCCTGCACGCCCCAGACCGCAACCAGGGCATACGGCCTGATGGGGAATCGAACCGTGACCTCCCAGTTCATAGGTCGACGCTCAACCACTGAGCCACGCCAGCCGGCCCGTGCCTTCTTTCTTTAGAGCTTTGGATTCTCGTACACTTCGCTTCTCTAAAATGCTGGTCACAGTTTTGGCTTTTGATACTGCTGCCCCTCCCCTGCCTCAGTGTAGAACTCAAGAGCAGGCTGCCGCTTCTTCTCTCTACTTTCGCGGTGATGACCCCGGGCATGGAGGCCTCGGGGTCTCAGTGGATAGAACGACTGAGGCAGAAAGGAAGGCTCCAAAGCCCACCTGCCCCAAAGCAGCTGCTGTTGCTCCAGCCTCAGCCCTCCTGGCTCAGGGGCCCAGCCAGGACCACCCGGAACTGACTCACTGCAGCGAGGGAGACCCCATCTGTTGGGGGGGGGGGGGGGGGGGGGGGGTGGCATCTCCGAGGAGGGTGCTGGCAGGACCTGGAGGGCGTTTGCTGTGTGGGTGGAGGGTGCTGGCTGCTCCACTGCCGACTCCACTGCCCTGGCCTCGCACACAGTATCTTTCATCCTGTTTTCCTTTTAACTCTTGAAGAGCCCCATCATAGACACGGACGCCCCCAGGAGTGTCCGACGGGATGCCGTGTGCCGTTTCTTTCTGTGGCCCGAGAGTGCCCCCCAGAGGTGGGAATGGGCCTCCCTGCTCCTGGGGAAGGGGGTCAGGTGAGGACGAGGGGGTCCCAGTGGGGGTGTGATTTCGGGGGGGACCTGGGCCTTGCCTGCTCAGGAGGGCGAGGGGCACGGCTGCCGCTGGGAACCTCCCTTCTCTCCCCTCCCCTCTGGGAGTCAGCTGCCTCAGGGTCTCCGCTCACCTGGCAGGCAGGCGGTCCTCCACCTGTCAGGCCAGGCCACGCCTCCTCTCCGTCCAGACCCCGCCCATAAGACCTGGTCCCGCCCCCTGGACGTGGCC